CACAAATCATGCCCTGCTGCCGGTGCCAGGGAAAGCCCAGGCCTGGCCTCAGACCTTGGCTTTGCCCTGACTTGCTGTGTGACCGCAGGCTAGTACTTCTCCTCTCTGGGTCTGTTTCCCTCTATGTCCAGAGTGGAAATCTACCCCCGAGCTCCAAGATTGCTGGATTGGGGAAATGAATTTCCCTAGGAGTGATGCCTCTGCTGTCCCTTCCCCTGAGCTGACAGAGCTCACAGCTTGAGCCTCTTCCACAGCTCAGAGAGAGGGGGAGGGGAGTATCCTGAGCAGGGCCTCCGGTCCCTTTGGGAAATAGAGTGCCCTCTGTGGGGTGTGTGGGTATGACTCCCCCCAGTCCAGGGCTGAAGGAAAAACCATTAATTCGAATGAAGGAAAATAAAATGTCTTCTATAGATTTCGTGTCAAGGCCATCAGCATTGCTGGCAGACTTAACTTGCCTCCCGTGGTGGAACTGAGACAGGCGGAGGCCGACCCCTGAGAATGGGGGCCAGGCCCAGGGGAAGCCCGGCACCTGGCCCGGCTCAGCTAAGGTTTCCTCAGCAGAGTCGAGGATGTTCCCAGGACAGGAGAAGCAGCACAGGTTCATGGCGAGATCAGTGGACGGTCTCAAAGGTCTCTTGTGACACTGAAGCTTGGGGCGCACCGGAGTCATTCCGGGTCCATCAGCACAGGCAGGAGGGCAAGGGCGGAGGCTCTGGCTGCCATTCAGGCCAGGCATTCGAGGCCGGCAGGACTGATCTGCCTTACACCGCCCCTTCCTAACATGTCAGCTCCACCGTTCTGTCATGGGGACCAACCCAGACTCTCCTGCTTTTTTTTTTTTTTAATGTTAATTTATTTTTGAGAGAGACAGAGTGCAAGTGGGGGAGGGGCAGAGAGAGAGGGAGACACAGAATCTGAAGCAGGCTCCCGGCTCTGAGCTGTCAGCACAGAACCCGACGCGAGGCTCAAACTCACGAACTGCAAGCATGACCTGAGCCGAGTCGAACACGTAACCGACTTTTAAAGTGGCCAAGAAAGAGGCCTGAGTAATGAAATGAGGCTGTTTAAATCACTGGAGGTGAGTACTGAAGACAGGGAGTCAGATAATGTTGATGATGGGGTTCTACTACCGAGCTGCAAACAGGAATCCATCTAGCCCAGCCGGGGCCAGTTACGGGAAAAAGAAAGCCATTTTCCTATTTACACTCTTAACAGGTTGAGACTGCCAAAAAACTGGTTTTATCTGGAGGCAAATGCTGTTGGTGGCCTTTGCCTTCTTACTTGCCTTCCTGCTCTTTGACTGGGCTCGGGCAGCAGAGTGTACAGTCCCGGACCAGCCAGCTATAATCATGCTGCTCCCCTTGGCTGACTGTCTAGGGCAGGAATGCCACCTGATGCTGGCCAAGGAGAGACAAGGGACAACTGCGGAGGCATTTCTGAGAAATATTTTTCTTACTCATAAGAGGCAGTGGCAGCAAAAAGGCACTTGTGACTCTTTTTTTTTTTTTTTAAGTTTATTTGAGAGAGAGATATGCGGGAGGGGCAGAGAGGGAAAGAGAGAGAGAGAGAATGAGAATCCCAAGCAGGCTCTGAACTGTCAGTGCAGAGCCTGATGCGGGGCTCAAACTCATGAACCATGAGATCATGACCAGAGCTGAAAGCAAGAGTCAGACGCTTCACTGATTGAGCCACCCAGGCGCCCTAAGAAGGCGCTTGTGACTCTTGTCTTTCTTCTTGCTCAGAACTCTGTGCGTGAAGCTCAGCTTGGAGCCGAGACAAGCACCAGAAGACCATGAAGGGGCTATGATCTCTTCAACATGGACATAAAACGAGGATGTGGTGCCATGGGTGACGTGCACCTGCTGCCCATGCTCTTAGAACATCGGTGACTTTGGAGAGATCAACCACTTAGTGTCATCCAGTGACCGGCCTTATGCCTGGGTCCTCTGTCCTGGAGCCACTGGGAAGCAAGGCATCCAGGAAGCCCCTCCTTGGCCTGCTTCTTTTTGCACTGATATAAATTTTCTGCACTCATCACAGGGTCTCCTCTTTGTTCCCACTTTTGCCCTTGGTATAACAATTGTTTTATTGTTTTATTGTCACTTTGGATAATTCCCTCTTCTGACAGGCCAGCCTTCAAAGCACTCCCTTGGCCGTCACCGGGCTCCGGTGGCTGATGGTACAATACCTCTGGGAGTGTGCCCGGCCGGAGGGCGAGGCACTGCCGTGTGCTCACAGATTGAACTGGTTTGGGGGCTAACGACCTGCTAGAGAGGTGCACTCTCCCCAAGGATACCTCTAGCAGAGGCTTCTTCTAGGAAAAGAGTCATTTCCTGAGAGAAATCCATTCCATCAGGTTTAGGTGGGGTTGAAGCTCCACTATCTTCCCTCCTCTGCCACAGCGGTGGGCATGTGACCCACGCTGGGCCTATGACTCTCATGGGGTCCATTCCTGCTCAATCACGTTCCATAGACTGGACAGGGAGCGATTTCATTTGCTTTTCCTGTATCTGGTTTCATGACCTATGGCCACAGAAGCCTCTGAATCCTTCTCTAGAAGCTACTTTTCAGGTGGTTACCGCACCTGTGTTCTCCTGCAGAACTGCTTCCTCCTGAACTTCCAGGTCCTCCCTGCTGATATTACTGGGGCACGTGAACCCCGTATCTCTCCCCCTACAGCCCCAGCTCTCTCCTACAGAATCTCGATTCAAGGCCTCTACCAGCCTGACACTCTTGGCCTCGGGCAGACGCTGGAAAACGGTGGGGGCTCCATCCTGCACTGGTGTTACAAAGCCTCAGATGATCAGTTCACGTGGCCGTCGGGGTGTGTTCGCCACAGCAGCTTCCGAGGGAGGAGCGTTCTCTCCCAAGACTGACCTGACCTGGGCTCGTTTTGCCCCTGTCCTCGGAGGTCTCATGATTGTGTCCTCAGAGCAGGGCCAACCTTCCTCTCCATTAATACTCCCCTTCCCCAAACCCAAGCACCTCTCTCATTTCCCTAGTTCCTTCCTTGACCATGAAACGTCTACTGATCTTCTAATAAAAAATTTTAGTGAGTCCTGGCTACCCTGATAAGAAATGTCCTGTGCGGTGGACTGTACTGTTGTTCCAAATACTCACGGTCCCTGCCCCAGCTCCTTCCCTGCTGCCTCCCCCCAACACACACACACACACACACACACATACACACCCTAGAAGATTATACCATCCCTACCTTTTGAAGTTAGGGGTGGCCATGTGACTTGCTTGGGCCAGTAAGGTGTAAGCAGAAATGACAGTGTCACTTCTAAGCAGAAACCTAATGGATAGTTGTGGTTCTCTCTGTCTCTTCCCCCTCTTTCCTTTTTTTCTGTTGTTTTGTTTTTTGGCTTAAACAATAGATATTTAGTTTCTCAAAGATCTGAAGGCTGGAAGTCCAAGATCAAAGTGTCAGCAGGTTGGTTCCTTCCGAGGCTTCTTTCCTTGCCTTGCAGACAGCTGCCATCTGGCTTTGTCCTCACGCGGTCTTCCCCCTGTGCAGGCGCATAGCTCGGGCACAACGTTCTGGTGCCACCACACCAGGCTGGGGGCATGCTCTCACCTGATTTTGTATACACAGCTGACTGAAGATGGCGATTTCAACTAAATCTCTGGAGTTAACTATGTCCACTGTCAGCAGGGCCTGGCTCATCCACTCCAGGTGGATTATCCACTCCATAATTTCCAGAATTATGACTTGATCTGGGCTGAAGATCAAGTCAGCCAGTCATGCCTCCAGGTAAAACACCAATGGGCCTCTTGGGGCACCTGGGTGGCTTAGTCGGTTAAGCGTCCGACTTTCGCTTAGGTCATGATCTCATGGTTCGTGGGTTTGAGCCCCGCGTCGGGCTCTGTGCTGACAGCCAGCTCAGAGCCTGGAGCCTGTTTCAGTCTGTGACTCCCTCTCTCTCTGACCCTCCCCTACTCACACTGTCTCTCTCTCTCTCCTAGAAATAAATAAAAACATTTAAAAAATTTAAAAAAAAAAAACCACCAATGGGCCTCCTATTTCCTGCACAAGAGACCACCGCGGGCGGGTGTGACTCCATGGTGGCAGAAGCAGTGACCTCAGCAGCCTGTCCAGAGACTGGGCGTCCGTCGTCTGCCTGGGCCTCAACAGCACCTGCGCTGTCAACCATGCTAGGACCAGCAGCCCAACGGCAAGTTCTGAGAGGCTCCCACAGAACTCCAGCCTCGTTCCTCCCCCTTGTGAGAATGCTAGAAGGGTCCTGGAGCGAAGACGGGGTAGAGTAAAGTGCGGCTGACCCGTGGTGAACACGCGATGGAAGTAAGGAGTGAGCTTCTGTTGTCAGCCATGGAGGTTTGGGGGCCTTAGCCTCAGTGACTGATAGAAGCTCTCTGGCTCTAGTCGAGAAGAGGTCCTCTGTCTCCACAGCCCAGAGTTCTCTCTGCCTCATGACAAGCCCTTGAGCTGCAACAGCGGGCCCGAGGCAGTGGGAGGAGGATGGCCTACTCTGTTCCTGGCTCTTGGAAGGCCTAAAGCTGCGGTTCTTTGATTTTGTTTTTTAAATGTTTATTTGTTTATTTTGAGAGAGTGAGAGAGAGAGAGGGAGGGAGGGAGGGAGAGAGAGGATCCCAAGCAGGTTCCATGCTGTCAGCACAGAGCCCGACTCGGGGCTCAATATCACCAACCTTGAGATCATGACCTGAGCCAAAATCAAGAGTCAAACGCTTAGCTGACTGCACCACCCAGGAGCTCCTAAAGCTGGGGTTTTTGTACTTGCCGTCCTGCCACAGTATGCCCCTCTGGTCCTGCCTGGGTCTGACCTGAGCAGCTCTGTTGCAGCCGCCTCGCTCTCCCAGAGCCCTTGGCTTCGAGAAAGAAAACTCCCATAAATTCTTTCAGAGCAAAGGGCATTGCTCACCTAAGAGTGATCGGTGATTTCACTTTAAAGGTCCACACTGCTTGGAAGTACACGTAATCATATAAAATTATTTTTATTAAAATAAAAAAGCTTTCCAGTATATTGCATTGAAGACATTTATATAGAAAAAGCAATTGCAACAAACACGCTACATCAGCACTGAGAGATTCTGAAAGCTTTAAGTGCCCACTTTTAAATGATATTTTGGTATAATGAGCATAGCCCTATATTTCAAAGGGTACATATAATACTGAAAAAAAATACTTCATGTAAAATCTAAGTTTAGGTGCATACAAACAAGAAGTATTCCATTGAATAGCTTATTTCAAACTGTGAAACACATTCAAAGTATTCAATTTCTCAGACAACATGCAAACATCGTAATACTTAGATCGACATTTTTAAATATATAAACCACAATTCTTTATAATTCTATATCAAAAAAGAAAGACAGAACACTTATTCACACTGTGCATATCACAAAAAGCAATGTGTCTTCATGAACGGAAAGTACTGGGTTAACACACATGATTGTCATTTTACAAATATGGCTATTTACCTTCTTCATAATAAAATAAAAATATCAGGTATTATTTACATGAACTACTAATTATTTCACTTTTTGGCAAAGTATATAAAGTAGCAGCAATTGGTTTAAAGGATGATGTTTAAAAACTCTAAGTTTAACTCGGATGAATACCGAAGAATATACATCTGGTTAATATAAAAATGCATAATGCAGTATGCTTTGATGTGAAATAACTTCTCCCTTTCACAAAAGTCACACGCACGTTAGTAACCACTGAGCCTATCTATTGCTTACAATGTGTCACGTGAATGCCATTTCCATAGCTTGCTCTGCTTAACACAATAGATGGGTTCCTGATGAAAATTTCAGTAAGCTAAATTTGCCTGATGATGTATATGATAATTCCAAAGATGCTTTATCTTTATTTCATACTCTGATAGGCTCTTCACCATGACCCCTAGCTTCTAGACAGACCAGGTAGTTATCTGTAAACAAGCACACATACCCCAGGGGCACCTCAATACTTAAAGGAACTCTGAAATGAAGTTTCTGGACTTGAACCTTATAGTAAAGTGAGTTACCTTTCTAAAAAGCGATCATGTCACTTATCAATGATGTCAACTTCGTTTGAGAGTGGGGGACCCATCTAATGAGCAAACTGTAAGGCAGAAATCCACCAAAAGAAGAAATCCTCTCTTCATTAGTATTTGGAAGAACATATTTTAACATTTGTAAGGACAAAACCAAAACCCTAATATTGGCAGATTAAAAAAAATACTGTGTGGTGAACAGAGGTGACAAGTGCTTTTACTTGGCCACTATTCTACTAGAAACCAGGAGTCCTGCATGTCCCTCACAGTAGAGAAACATTCGATGGAGAAACATCTCGCACCTTTCACGGGCAGTCAGTTATGTGTCCAGAACATGTGCAAGGCAGGGCCCAGGCTGAGGAGGAGGACAGGGAGACAGGGGGCTCTGGCCTCGATGCCAGCTGACGGCAAACTGCTCGAGACCTGTACCTGGGAAATGATGAGGGCAGAGAGAGGGACGTGCGACGCCAGAGTGGGGCTGTCGGAGTTGATGAGGGATTCGATCTTCTCGGCTTCTTTATTGCAGGCCTCAATCTAGGAGAGGATAACCAGATTTTTAAAAATCTAAAATCACAGAACCTAGGAAAAGATCAGGTCAGACAAAAATCCAAATATATCTCAACATAGAGAATATGCTCTCCTTTTCTTAGCCAAAGTCACATTTTAATTTAGTCTCACTTTATTACACAAATAGTAACAGCGTCAATGGAAATTAGCGGAAATGATCCACAATGCCACTGCCCTTACTTTTCCCATAATCCTGTTCACCACTTATCCACATTTAGACACTGTCTTTACGTGGTTAGACACTATCATAGGGAAAGGACATTCAGTGTTTCTGTACCCATCCTGGAGAAAAGCAAGCGGGCTTTACTGAACTTCCTGGGCAGTTTACAAACTGCTTGAGTCACCCCTTCACTTGAGACCCCCCCACCCCCATTCTGATTCTAACACCTGGGCCCAATGGGTGAGGCTCACTCTAGAGTCTGAGGAAGAAAAATGGGGTCCATAAGACCAGTCCGGGCGCACTCCTCCTCCCCAGTAGGAGCACAGCCCTGAGGAGACAGGTGTCTACTCTGGCTGTGTTACTGTGTGACCCGTGTCAGCCCCTTCCCTCCCCGGGCCTGCACACTCCGGGAAGCGGCATCTTGACCTGTCCGCTCTCCTACTCCTTCACGGTCAGCCATCAAATGTGTGCCCGGCCTCTGCCACCGGGAGAGCGCTCACGGGTCCGGCTCTGTCCTTCAGAGGCGGCCTTGCTCCTCTCCCTCCCGCCCTGCCTAACTTTCCAAAGGCCTCCATCCCCTACCCCACAAAGTCCCCCAAAGGCGAAGGCGACAGGGAGGGTTCGCGCGCCTTGCCCCACCTGCAAAGCTTTTGGATAATGATCGACAGGAATGATCAGGATCACAATTTCTGATTCAATGCTGAAGTATCCAAATACGTCACACTGTGGGACAGACACGTGCATGCGGATTTTCTCAAGTATTTCCAGAATTGTTATTGGCTTTTTGTTTGTTACCTGGAAAGAGAAAACATTCCTATTACCCGAATAAAAGGGGAATTCCTTATTACTGCCTTGCTACCTTGCCTATTGGAATCCCTAAGTGTGGGGCGTCAACTCAGTAGGCGCCCTGCCGGCTGAATGCTACACCTCCAGGGTCCATTCCAACCTCCTTCTGTCTGACTGCTGAGCTTTGTAGCTAAGATAAACACTCACCAGAAGCCCCCCCCCCCCAACTCCTTTTAAGTGACTGTTCTCAGTTGGGGGCCACAGGAAAACGATTAGAGACTTCCTGTAAAAACACAAGGGTTTGAATCCAAATGGGGATGGTTTTCCAGGTGGTGGCAGGTGGTGGCTGCTACATTTCTGGAGCCCTGGGTCCACAAAGTGGGGCAGCAGTGATGGTGTAGAAAAGGGAAAAGGGCAACCCCCCCACAGGAGGGTGGCACACTCCAGAAGCTCCCCCAGGAGGAACGGGGACTGAGGGGGCAGGCAGCCTTCAAACCACCCGGGCATCTACCAGTCTCTGGCTGCTTGGTCCTGCCTCCAGCCCTAACTTTGCCTTCCGTGAAAGCTGGGACCTTTTCTAAGGAAGGCTCAGGCTGACCGTGACGTGTAGAGCAAGGTCACCAAACAGCCAGGGTGCAGAGGAGAGGAGCACAGCCTCGGGTGCCAGGCAGCCTCGTTCTACTGGTTATGTGTGGCACGGCCCTGGGCACGTTGCTTTCCGAGGATTGCTTTCCTCCTCTATAAATGGGACAACAGTCTCCTCTGTGGCATTACTGAGAGTCTCATCGATAAGCTTTCAACAACACCTGGCAGAGAAAGCAACTTACCTTAGCGATAGTATCCAGTTTTTCCTTGTCAAACAGAACTCTTAACATCCCAGCACATAAGGGGCAACAAGCGCCTGTATAACAGAAACCATTTTATGTGTGTGCAGAATTAGAAAATGAAAATTCAAAGTAGCTGGTGAAATTACCCAGCCATCATTTTGTGCTAGGAGAGCTGTAGCTTCCTTCCTGCTCGCTGTGCTTGCAGATACGTTCCCTGACCACCCCGGGCCTTACTGTCCACACGCGTGCCCAAATCCTTCCTCCACCCCTGCTTTCACCCTTTACCACTTCTCAGGGTGAGGCAGTTATGGTGCAGGACAGCAGAGACAGCTGACCCTTCAAGGGATGCAGGGCCTGGCCCCTCCCCTGCCTCAAAACTCTCTGTGTGATCCTGGGAAAGTGCTTTCCTGGGCCTTTCATTTCCTGTCCACAAAACAAGGGAGCAGGTGTTTTAGGGATTGCATGAGTTTTTGATTCAAATCTAATTTTAAAAATTATTTTAAACTGTTAAAAGTGATAACAAAACATCAGACCATGGTGTCCGGGAGGAAAGAGGCCTTGGTTTGCTCACTGCTGTGTCCCAGTGCCTAGATGAGTCTCTGGCACACAGCGGAGCTCAAGAAACATCTGATGAATCCAAGGATGGAGGAATGAACTTGTTAGCCTTCAGATTAACCTGTTCTGTGCAGACGCGGGATAAAGCCTTCTCTGATACCTCTGTTTAACTGAAAAGTATGGCACTGCCAGGTAAGTAGTTTAGGAAAATGGTTCCCACTTCTAACAGTCTGTAGGAAACAGACTTTCTGGATTATATGCGACTAAAACAATTAAATTAAGATGCTAAGGCCAATCCAAGACCACTATCTTATATTTCTCTCAATTTCAAATGTTTGTGTTCATCACAACTACCTCAATCATTCATTATTTATGAATCATTCATTCATTATTGATTCTTTACTCATTAACTACTAATTCTTTATTAACTTTATAATGAGTAAATTTAATGCATTTGAATAAAGAATCATAACTTTAGTAATTAAATATTGCCTTATCTATTTATATATTGGTGTTTGGTAGGATTTTGCCTGACAAAGTTTGCCATTATTGCTTTATTTATTTATTTATTTATTTTTAAGTTTATTTATTTTATTAAAAAAATTTTTAATGCTTATCTAATTTTGAGAGAGAAAGAAAGACAGAGCATGGGGGTGGGGGGACAGAGAGAGAGGGAGACACAGAATCTGAAGCAGGCTCCAGGCTCTGAGCTGTCAGCACAGACCCCAACATGGGGCTTGAAATCACAAACTGCTAGATGATGACCTGAGCCAAAGTTGGAGGCTTAACCAACTGAGCCACCCAGATGCCCCAAGTTTATTTATTTTTTATTTAAGTAATCTCTACACCCAACATGGGACTCGAACTCATGACCTTGAGGTCAAGAGTCGCATGCTCTTCCGACACCCAGCCAGGCACCCCTACCATATTGTTTTAGATCCAATGGATAAGATGATATCTAAGGTAATCTATAGCTTTTTAAGGTGGACTCAGAGTAATGCATCAGATTAGCATCAGGTAGAGCAAAGACTTTTTGAAAAATTTAAGTAAACGAGTCAACTCTCTTCTGAGTGACTCATTCTCTGGAGGTGCTAAGTAAGCCTTCCCAATCCCACCCCTGCCCCACCCCAAGCACTGCCAGCTTACCGGGTGGGATGACGGGTTTGCACTCAGTTGCAGAGAGTGAAGGACACTTCACAGCAGCGCACTCCGCAACAGAACTGTACTCTGAGAGGACCCCAACGGCCTGGCAGGGCCCATAGTAATCAACCGCCACACGGTCTGAGTAGGCAGCGCACACACTACCGTAGGTCTCGCCATTGTGCCCGCAGATGGGCTCTGTGGCTCTGCAGAAGGGCTGACGATAAACAAAGCACATTTAGCCTAGAAACCTGTATGGTACACTTTTTCTAACCAAGAGCCCAGAATAGGAAGGGGAAGCGAAACAGGTATAAATTCCCGGACCCTCTTAATTAAGCTCTAAGATCGGCTAAACTTTGGGTTGGGGGAGGGGTCAATAGGGCTGTCCCAAGATGAACCTAAATGATTACTTTTCTCAGCCTCCCTGGGACTTCCTCATATGAGATGCTGCCCCCCTCCACCCCAGGCTTCTATGAATCCAGAAGTGCCTGTCTGAAGAAAACAAGATCAATCTTTATGCAAATTCAGAAGCCTTATCATTTCCTGCTGGTACGGGATAAGTAGAGGGAAGAGTAGAGCGATCAGTGGGGCGGAGACCTGGGACCCAAAAGGTAGGTTAGGAATAAGTAAGACAAAACTTGTAGCCAGGAAGAGGGAACAAGAAGGAAGAGAAGACTGGGAATTCAGAATAGAAGGCATCAGTGCACTTGGAAAACAAGCTCTGAAGGAAAACGAGCCTAGGGGGATAAGCTGAAGGCATTTTCCTGCCGGCCATGACCAGGAAATGAGAAGCAAGCCTGTCGTCGGGTTTTCGCTGGCTGTGGGTGGGGGGTGCTGTGCGGTGCTATGTGTGGAGTTGTCCTTGGGGGTGTTTTTTTCACAAGAACCCTACAAGGCTAAAAAACAGACTGATGCAAAAAGACATTAAGCTCTTCAAGAAACTTTCACTCACTCTTCAGTAGTGCGAGTGGGACTTCAATGGAAAGAGTGGGAAAGGACTCTTTTCTTGGTGGTTTTAACTCACACACTTCCCGGCTATTCCCTAATGAGGGCCCACAGACCGTGGGAAACGACAATGGTGCTAACATTACATTCCACTCCTAACGGCAGTGCCAGGAGGCCGCTCTGTCCTCGCCTGTGCACTAGACGCACGAAGGTACATACACTAGCAAGAGAGCCCACCAGAGTCAGCAGAAAAAACCCAGCTTGGAATGGCTCATTTTAGTTCTCTAGATTTGACAGGACTCGCAGGAGACCCCCAGGCGATCTTACTGCGGCTTCAATCTGTGAAAGATCATATACCGACACCGACTGTACGCTCAGTGTGCTTGGGTTTGTCAGCCAAACCACCGTACCTGGCACGGGCCTTTATATAAGAGGCTTTGCCCCCTCTGGTACAACGTGCAGAGACTGCTGTGCTCCATGTGGTGTGTGTCACATACAGGATCGCGAACCTGGTCACAGGTGAGCTGTCTCGGCAAACACTCGTGTTGGCTACATCCAAATTTATCAAACGTTGTCAGACAGACTTGTGGTCTGGGTATGCATCTGAAAAACACAAGTGCGGCACCGTGGGCCAGTGCTGGGAGGGGCGATGGTGAGGCCAGTACGGCAGTGACAAGGCACAAGAGGCCGGGGGAAAAAAGCAAGAGAAGAATCAGAAAGAGCCCCTGTCCCCCAAAGCATATGGAGAGTGGGAGGGTCAAGCATGCATATGAAATAAGCTAGTAGATGACACATAAAATGCTCATGGGAATGAGTCATTCTGATTCAGGAGCCAAAGGAAAGCACGGGGAAGAGGGTGCGTCCTGGTCGCAACGTGGAGGATGCGGAGTGTCGCACAGGCGTGCCAGGCTAAGGGAGCCACACGAGCAAAGGTATGGTGCTGTAGACTACAGGACTGGGGGACAGGAGAGGTGACCCTGAGGGCGGGAGCCAAGGTCGCAGGGGTAGAAGTGGCGTGATAGGAGGTCATCATGGGTTAGCGTCCGACGTGAGATGCCCTTTTAGTCAATAATAAATGAAGCATTTTCTGGGGGCTAATTTTCAGCTTGGCTAATACATATGAATCTGTCTTAAGAGAAGGCTTCACAGTGTGTGTTGAAAACAATCAGGCTTCTGTGCTTACAGGCTGAGGACCTGCTGCTGGCTGGTTGTGGATCAGAGACAGAATGTCGCCCCACGAAGCTGGCTTTTCCTAATAACCTCAGGACCTTGCTTCAGTCTCAATTCCCGAACTTCTTCAGAAGGGTTGGGGATGATGGCTCTTTAGACTTTTCTGCTATTCATTTCTATATAGGACATTTATAACTTTCTATCAGAAGACCTATTGAAATGTTCAGCTTGCACTGGGCATTTGAAATAACAGGATATACAAATGTTAGTCTGTAAAACAGAAGGAGAAAAGTATAGCAGCTGGCATCATTTTACTTCCAAGGAAATTACCTCTAATCTTTTTTTTTTTAATTTTTTTTTTAATGTTTTATTTATTTCTAGGAGAGAGAGAGAGAGAGACAGCGTGAGCAGGGGAGGGTCAGAGAGAGAGGGAGACACAGACTCTGAAACAGGCTCCAGGCTCTGAGCTGGCAGTCAGCACAGAGCCCGACGCGGGGCTCAAACCCACGAACCGCGAGATCATGACCTAAGCGAAAGTCGGACGCTTAACCGACTAAGCCACCCAGGCGCCCCATCCTCCATTCTTTTTAAGGAGAAGCCTCCTGCTCTGAAACGTCTACCACCATCATCGCTACTACTCACCTGTGGTCACTTTTTCTGACGGGATTTAAAATCAGAATGCACAGGGTTGTATGGCTTTTGGAAATTTAAGACATTTGAAAAGAAATAAAGGAAAAGAACATTTAGAACTTCATTACCTATTAACATGGAAGGAATGAGAACCAAGACTATCAGGAGACATTTGGTAATTTTGGAAGGAAAGATTTGAGTACTAAAAAATAAGAAGATCATCTGGAAAGCTGAAAATCCAGGGGCTAAATTAAACATGATCAGGGCAGGCACTCTGTCTTGCTTAGTGTCGTGCTCTAGTGTTTAGAAAGATGCCGGGTACATCAGTAGATATTTGACGAATGAATACAACTTTGTATTTTTTAATAATTATTTTTTGAACAGATAATACGAGTCCCTGGTAAAACTGAAAAGATGCAAAAGTGTACACAGTGAAAAAAATAAGCCTGCCTCCTACTCTTAGAGCCAAGCCACCTGAACCCTTCCCCAGAGACAACTGCTATCATCAATTTCTTGCTTACTAATTCCAGAGATCCTTTAGGTAAGTATAAGCATTTATATATACTGGTTCAAGAGTCTGTGCATTTTTTTTTTTTAAGTTTTATTTATTTCTAGGAGAGAGAGAGAGAGAGACAGCGCGAGCAGGGGAGGGTCAGAGAGAGAGGGAGTCACAGACTGAAACAGGCTCCAGGCTCCGAGCTGGCAGTCAGCACAGAGCCCGACGCGGGGCTCGAACCCACGAACCGCGAGATCACGACCCAAGCGAAAGTCGGACACCCAACCGACTAAGCCACCCAGGCGCCCCAAGAGTCTGTGCGTTTAAATTTTTGACAGGCTTGGCCAAATTGCCCTCCACAGAGGATGTACCAAGCCTCCCTTCAATCCCCTTCTTGTATGGGAGTTCCTGTTTCCTTACATCACGTTCTCAAACTTTTTATCTTTGCCAATCTGGTAGATGGAAAATGGTGCATACTTATACCTTTAACTTACATTTCTCATAAGATGAGAAAGGTTAAGCATCATGGTAGCTTGACTGGATGCTCATCAAATTCATTTTATTTTCTTCTTGGGCACATGTCTAGGTTATATTTCCCAGTCTCCCTGGCAGTAATGGTGGCCAGGTGATTGAGTTCTAAACAGTGGAATGTGGCTGGAAGTAGAGACGAATGTCCCTTTTACACCTGGCCTGTAAAAGCTTCTCAATAGCAACCATCACCATCTCCCTTCTCTTAATTTCTGGCCAGATGGAGAAGACATGGAGGAGGACTAGGAGTCTGGAGCTGGAGCTTCAGGCGTCACTAGATGGATGGATCTTAAGTTTCTGAATCACTGTGTGGAAAGCCACCTGCTGAACACTCAAATGCATGGTATTTGAATATCTACTATGTTCAAGTACTAATATTATTGGGCTTGTATATAGTAGCTAGAGTTACTCTAATAAGAGCCTCTTTTCCAGTGTTTAACAACTATTTGTATTTTTCTGTTTATATCCTTGCTCCATTTTTCTATTAGGTTTTTGATTTTGCCTATTTTTATAGGAGGTTGTCGATCTTTTACATGACGATTTGTAGGAACTCTATATTTTAAGGAAATCAGCCCTTTCTCTGTGATATTCTGTGGGTTTGGCTCATCACACTGGGGTTACCAATTGTGGGTTCCGCTTTAAGCTTTGTTCAGCAAAGCTGAGGACCAGAGAAAAGATTACTCAAGACCTTGCAAGTCAAGAGAGATGGGAGGGAAGCTAAAGGAAATCACCCCAAGGTGCTCTCAAGCTCTCGTACTTATTAGGCATACATTACGGGGAAAACATTGCACAATGTGTCAGTGGCTACGTGCCAGTAAAAAAGTATAGAAAGTGGGCAAAAAACAAAACAAAACAAGGCATTCCCAAGACTCCAAAAGAGCAGATGCCTGAAAGCAGGGTGGAAAACAAGATAAGATATTCTATAGATAACATGGCCTAAGGAATTCATGAGCTTAGGCAGGACCCAATCCTTATATACACATTAACTGGATGCTGGTCCACTGTTTTTAGCAGGGCCAGAAAGCATGGAATGCATTCCCTATAATCTCCTTAACCAGGACAGAGTGATTTGATTTCCACAATATTCTTTCCAGTTTGTAATTTGTTACCATGCAGAAAATTTTCATTTTCATGTAGCTGCATTTTTCAATCCATTTTTAAATATTGGTTTTGTATTATACCCAGCAAGACCTTCCCATTTTGAGATTTTATTGTTTCATTATAAAAGCAAAAGAGCCCTATTCAAAAGGGTTAGCAAATAGAGGAAGACAAATGAACAAACAAACACTGAAACAATCCTCAAGCCACCTCCCAATACAACTAGCTTATCCTATTAGCTTATTTGTTATGCCCAACACCCTGTCTTCTTTCCATAGGAACTTTTTGGGCTTAGTTTTCATGGTATAAACTTCGCCAGATGGGTGACTAATTCTCTTTGCCATTTCTTTTCACATTGTGAGAATCTTCCCCTTGCTCCTTACTGCATCAGGGTTTTCAGGATGGAGAAGCAATTGCTTATTCTCCACAAAATCCTTCACAAGGAAAAGATGTGTTCAGGTCTTTGAGGCAGCCAGTGAAAACTCCTGTTCTAGGAGTTTCTAAACCTAAGACAGTCAGCAGACACTTGCCGTTTGGCCACCACATACAGAAATCCATCATTATTAAGGCTAGGTCAACTATATTTAGAGCTCATGAGGAAACTGCAGAGAAAGGAGCCCCTACACAAATAACTTCACATAATACTGAAGTTGCATTTCTAGAGATTTCTCATGTACAATCCCTAAAATAGAGGTAGATAAGCAGGAGAAAATTTCCATTACTATCAGGCATAAATAGCTAATAATAAGAATACATTCATTTCTCTTGTCTTGTCTGCTGTCATTCCGTGCCTTGCACTTTCCATTTTAGTCTTACAGAACTGCTATAGCTCCCAGGAGATATCACGCTATTTCCTCATTTCTAGCAGCCAAGATCTTTCCTCCTGTTTTTCTCTCTGACTTCACCAACACCACCTTTCTTCCACTGTCAACCCTGCCTGCAATCTCCTCATCTTCTTATTTATTTATCTTTGTTTGTTTATTTATATTTAGATATTTTTAAAATTTACATCCAAGGTAGTTAGCATATAGTGCAATAATGATTTCAGGAGTAGAATCCAGTGATTCATCCCTTATGTATAACACCCAGTGCTCATCCCAACAAGTGTCTTCCTTAATGCCCCTTACCCATTTAGCCCATCCCCCCACCCACAACCCCTCCAGCAACTCTCAGTTTGTTCTCTGTATTTAAGAGTTTCTTTATGTTTTGTCCCCCTCCCTGTTTTCATATTATTTTTGCTTCTCTTCCCTTATTTTCATCTGTTTTGTATCTTAAATTCCTCATATGAATGAAGTCATATGTATTTGTCTTTCTCTGACTGACTAATTTCACTTAGCATAATACAGTTCCATCCAGATTATTGCAAATGGCAAGATATCATTCCTTTTGATGGCCAAGTAATACACCATTGTATGTATATACCACATCTTTTTTTAAAATTTAATTTTGAGAGGGGCTTATGGGTGGCTTAGTCGGTTAAGCATCCGACTTTCGCTTGGGTCATGATCTTGCGGTTCATGGGTTCGGGCCCCGTGTCGGGCTCTGTGCTGACTGCCAGCTCAGAGCCTGGAGCCTGTTTCAGTCTGTGACTCCCTCTCTCTCTGACCCTCCCCTGCTCACGCTGTCTCTCTCTCTCTCTCTCTCCTAGAAACAAATAAAACATTTAAAAAAATTTTTAATTTTGAGAGAGAGAGAGAATGAGAGAATGAGTTGGGGAGGGGCAGAGACAGAGGGAGACACAGAATCTGAGGCAGGCTCCAGGCTCCAAGCAGTCAGCGCAGACCCCGAGGTGAGGCTCAAACTCACAAACCATGAGATCATGACCTGAGCTGAAGTCAGATGCTCAACCGACTGAGCCACCCAGGTGCCCCATATACCAGATATTTTTTTATCCATTCATCTGTTGATGGACATTTGGGTTCTTCCCATACTCTGGCTATTGTCCATAGTGCTGCTATAAACATTGGGGTACATGTGATCCTTTGAAAAGCACACCTGTATCCTTTGGATAAATACCTAGTAGAGCAATTGCTGGATCGTAGGGTAGTTCTAGTTTTAATTTTTTGAGGAAACTCCATATTGTTTTCCAGAGTGGCTGCACCAGTTTGCATTCCTACCAGCAGTGCAAAAGGGTTCCTTTTGGTCTGTATCATCACCAATATCTGTTGTTGCCTGAGTTGTTAATGTTAGCCATTCTGACTGGTGTGAGATGGTATCTCATTGTGGTTTTGATCTCCCTGATCATGAGTGATGTTGAGCATTTTTTCATGTGCCTGTTAGTCATCTGGATGCCTTCTTTGGAAAAATGTCTAGTCATGTTTTTTGCCCATTTCTTCACTGGATTATTTATATTTTGGCTGTTAACTTTGATAAATTTATTATAGATTTTGGATACTACCCCTTTATCTGATATGTCGCTTGCAAATATCTTATCCCATTCTGTTGGTTGCCTTTTAGTTTTGCTAACTGTTTCCTTTGCTGTGCAGAAGTTTTTTTTATCTTGATGAGGTCCCAATAGTTCATTTTTGCTTATATTTCCCTTGCCTCTGGAGACACGCTGAGTAAGAAATTGCTGAGGCCAAGGTCAAAGAGGTTTTTGCCTGCTTTCCCTTCTAGGATTTTGATGGCTTTCTGTCTTTATGTTTAGGTCTTTCATACATTTTGAGTTTATTTTTGTGTATGGTATAAGAAAGTGGTCCAGGTTCATTCTTCTGCATGTTGCTGTCCAGTTTTCCATTCGCTGGCAAGCACCATTAGCTGAAGAGGCTGTCTTTATTCCATTGGATATTCTTTCCTGCTTTGTCAAAGATTAGATGGCCATACATTTGTGGGTCCATTTCTGGGTTCTCTATTCTGTTCCATTGATCTAAGTGTCTGTTTTTGTGCCAGTACCATACTGTCTTGATGATGACAGCTTTGTAATCCATATTGAAGTCTCATAGAATGAGTTTGGAAGTTTTCCTCCCATTTCTATTTTTTTGGAACAGCTTAAAAAAATAAGTGTTATCTCTTCCTTAAATGTTTGGTAAAATTCCCCTGGAAAGCCATCTGGCCCTGGACCCTTGTTTTTTAGGAGATTTTTGGTTACTAATTCAATTTCTTTACTGGTTATGGGTCTGTTCAAATTTTCTATCTTGCTGTTTCAGTTTTGGTAGTTTATATGTTTCTAGGAATTTGTCCATTTCTTCCAGATTGCTCAATTTATTGGCATGTAATTGCTCATAATATTCTCTCATTATTGTTTGTATTTCTGGGTGTTGGTTTTGATCTCTCCTCTTTCATTCTTGATTTTACTTATTTGGGTCCTTTCCTTTTTCTTTCTGATCAAAATGGCTAGGGGTTTATCAATTTTGTTAATTCGTTCAAAGAACCAACTCCTGGTTTCATTGATCTGTTCTACTGTTGTTGTTTTTTTTTTATTTCGAAAGCATTGATCTCTGCTCTAATCTTTATTCTTCTGCTGGTCTTGGAATTTATTTGCTGTTCTTTTTCCACCTCCTTATGGTGTAAGGTTAGGTTGTGTATCTCATACCTTTCTTCCTTCTTTAGGAAGGCCTCTAATGCTATATACTTCCCTCTTATGACCATTTCTGTTGCATCCCAGAGTTTTGGGGCTATAGTGTTATCATTGTCAATGGCTTCCATGTACTTTTTAAATTTCTTCTTTAACTTATTGGTTAAGCCATTCATTCTTTAGTAGGATGTTCTTTAATCTCCAAGTATTCATTGTCTTTCCAATTTTTTCTTGTGGTTGATTTAGAGTTTCATAGCATTGTGGTCTAAAAATATGCACAGTATGATCTTGATCTTTTTATACTTGTTGAGGGCTGATTTGTGTCCCAGTATGTGATCTATTCTGGAGAGTGTTCCATGTGCACTCGAGGAAGAATATGTATTCTGCTGCTCTTGGACGAAATGTCCTGAATATATCTGTTAAGTCCATCTGGTCCAGTGCGTCATTCAAAGCCATTGTTTCCTTGTTGATTTTCTGTTTGGATAATCTGTCCATTGCTGTAAGGGGGGTGTTGAAGTAACCTACTATTATGATATTATTATCAATGAGTTTCTTTATGTTTGTGATTAATTGATTTATATGTATGAGTGTTTTCACGTTGGGGGCATAAATGTTTACAAGTTTTAGATTTTCTTGGTGGATAGACCCCTTAATTATGATATAATGTCCTTCCTCATCTCTTGCTACAGTCTTTATTTTAAAATCTAGATTG